ACAATCGACCCTGAAACGGACCTGAAACGGAGTGGCGATCAGTGAGATAAGAGGTGAACCAGTTAAAAACAGTGCCTGAGAGGCCGACCAGGTGCGGAAGTCTATTTAATAAAATGTCATGGTCTGCTGCATCAAAGGCGGCGGCGGTTAGATCCAGCAGGACCAAGACTGTGAGGTTGCCATTATCAAAACTGCACCTGATGTCATTCAAAATTTTTAAAAGGGCTGTCTCAGTACTGGAATTCCCCCTAAATCCTGATTTGCACTCTAAAATGCTGTTTGTATTTAAACGATCGTATTTAAATACAAAGATTGCTCTTCTATTTTTTTTTTTTTTTTTGTGCCAAACACCCCCTTTACGGTGTTTTTGTTTTTTTGTTTTCTTTTTCAGAGTTTTTTGTTTTAAAGGTTTTTTGCCCATTTTAAGGTCTGTATTTTTTTTTTTGTTTTGTTTTTCTCGCCTGGCACCTTTGTCTGGATGAGCTACTCTTAGTCTGGTCCCTCCCCCACGACCTGTTTGCCTTGGGTGACCCTTCAGAGGCATAAAGCCCCTGACAACATAGCTCCTGGGATCATTGGGACACACAAACCCCTCCACCACGGTAAGGTGGTAGCTCGAGGAGGGGAAAAAAACCCTCCCATGGGGGAGGGAAAAACCATAAGGGTTTTTTTTTTGTTTTAAAGGTTCAATCATTTACTTGTTGAAGAACAAGTTTTTCCAAGATTTTACTTAAAAAATGGTAAGTTGGATGGTTCCACAACTGGGGACCATAAAAACTGAATGCCGCCTCCCCGTGGGTTTTTGTTTCTGACTTTGGGTAAGGTTAAAAGGCCTGTGCCGGAGGACCTCAGGGTCTGCGAGGGTTGATTTGGTAAAAGTACATCAGATAAAAAAGAAGGGCCAAGTCCATTAATACATCTAAAAACTAATAAAAGAACCTTACAATCAACCCTGAAACGGACCTGAAACGGAGTGGCGATCAGTGAGATAAGCGGTGAACCAGTTAAAAACAGTGCCTGAGAGGCCGACCAGGTGCTGAAGTCTATTTAATAAAATGTCATGGTCTGCTGCATCAAAGGCGGCGGCGGTTAGATCCAGCAGGACCAAGACTGTGAGGTTGCCATTATCAAAACTGCACCTGATGTCATTCAAAATTTTTAAAAGGGCTGTCTCAGTACTGGGGTTCCCCCTAAATCCTGATTTGCACTCTAAAATGCTGTTTGTATTTAAACGATCGTATTTAAATACAAAGATTGCTCTTCTATTTTTTTTTTTTTTGTGCCAAACACCCCCTTTAGGGTGTTTTTGTTTTTTTTTGTTTTCTTTTTCAGAGTTTTTTGTTTTAAAGGTTTTTTGCCAATTTTAAGGTCTGTTTTTTTTTTGTTTTTTTTTTCTCGCCTGGCACCTTTGTCTGGATGAGCTACTCTTAGTCTGGTCCCTCCCCCACGACCTGTTTGCCTTGGGTGACCCTTCAGAGGCATAAAGCCCCTGACAACATAGCTCCTGGGATCATTGGGACACACAAACCCCTCCACCACGGTAAGGTGGTAGCTCGAGGAGGGGAAAAAAACCCTCCCATGGGGGAGGGAAAAACCATAAGGGTTTTTTTTTTTTGTTTTAAAGGTTCAATCATTTACTTGTTGAAGAACAAGTTTTTCCAAGATTTTACTTAAAAAATGGTAAGTTGGATGGTTCCACAACCGGGGACCATAAAAACTGAACGCCGCCTCCCCGTGGGTTTTTGTTTCTGACTTTGGGTAAGGTTAAAAGGCCTGTGCCGGAGGACCTCAGGGTCTGCGAGGGTTGATTTGGTAAAAGTACATCAGATAAAAAAGAAGGGCCAAGTCCATTAATACATCTAAAAACTAATAAAAGAACCTTACAATCAACCCTGAAACGGAGTGGCGATCAGTGAGATAAGAGGTGAACCAGTTAAAAACAGTGCCTGAGAGGCCGACCAGGTGCTGAAGTCTATTTAATAAAATGTCATGGTCTGCTGCATCAAAGGCGGCGGCGGTTAGATCCAGCAGGACCAAGACTGTGAGGTTGCCATTATCAAAACTGCACCTGATGTCATTCAAAATTTTTAAAAGGGCTGTCTCAGTACTGGGGTTCCCCCTAAATCCTGATTTGCACTCTAAAATGCTGTTTGTATTTAAACGATCGTATTTAAATACAAAGATTGCTCTTCTATTTTTTTTTTTTTGTGCCAAACACCCCCTTTAGGGTGTTTTTGTTTTTTTTGTTTTCTTTTTCAGAGTTTTTTGTTTTAAAGGTTTTTTGCCCATTTTAAGGTCTGTTTTTTTTTGTTTTGTTTTTCTCGCCTGGCACCTTTGTCTGGATGAGCTACTCTTAGTCTGGTCCCTCCCCCACGACCTGTTTGCCTTGGGTGACCCTTCAGAGGCATAAAGCCCCTGACAACATAGCTCCTGGGATCATTGGGACACACAAACCCCTCCACCACGGTAAGGTGGTAGCTCGAGGAGGGGAAAAAAACCCTCCCATGGGGGAGGGAAAAACCATAAGGGTTTTTTTTTTGTTTTAAAGGTTCAATCATTTACTTGTTGAAGAACAAGTTTTTCCAAGATTTTACTTAAAAAATGGTAAGTTGGATGGTTCCACAACTGGGGACCATAAAAACTGAATGCCGCCTCCCCGTGGGTTTTTGTTTCTGACTTTGGGTAAGGTTAAAAGGCCTGTGCCGGAGGACCTCAGGGTCTGCGAGGGTTGATTTGGTAAAAGTACATCAGATAAAAAAGAAGGGCCAAGTCCATTAATACATCTAAAAACTAATAAAAGAACCTTACAATCAACCCTGAAACGGACCTGAAACGGAGTGGCGATCAGTGAGATAAGAGGTGAACCAGTTAAAAACAGTGCCTGAGAGGCCGACCAGGTGCTGAAGTCTATTTAATAAAATGTCATGGTCTGCTGCATCAAAGGCGGCGGCGGTTAGATCCAGCAGGACCAAGACTGTGAGGTTGCCATTATCAAAACTGCACCTGATGTCATTCAAAATTTTTAAAAGGGCTGTCTCAGTACTGGGGTTCCCCCTAAATCCTGATTTGCACTCTAAAATGCTGTTTGTATTTAAACGATCGTATTTAAATACAAAGATTGCTCTTCTATTTTTTTTTTTTTGTGCCAAACACCCCCTTTAGGGTGTTTTTGTTTTTTTTTGTTTTCTTTTTCAGAGTTTTTTGTTTTAAAGGTTTTTTGCCCATTTTAAGGTCTGTATTTTTTTTTTGTTTTGTTTTTCTCGCCTGGCACCTTTGTCTGGATGAGCTACTCTTAGTCTGGTCCCTCCCCCACGACCTGGTTGCCTTGGGTGACCCTTCAGAGGCATAAAGCCCCTGACAACATAGCTCCTGGGATCATTGGGACACACAAACCCCTCCACCACGGTAAGGTGGTAGCTCGAGGAGGGGAAAAAAACCCTCCCATGGGGGAGGGAAAAACCATAAGGGTTTTTTTTTTTTGTTTTAAAGGTTCAATCATTTACTTGTTGAAGAACAAGTTTTTCCAAGATTTTACTTAAAAAATGGTAAGTTGGATGGTTCCACAACCGGGGACCATAAAAACTGAACGCCGCCTCCCCGTGGGTTTTTGTTTCTGACTTTGGGTAAGGTTAAAAGGCCTGTGCCGGAGGACCTCAGGGTCTGCGAGGGTTGATTTGGTAAAAGTACATCAGATAAAAAAGAAGGGCCAAGTCCATTAATACATCTAAAAACTAATAAAAGAACCTTACAATCAACCCTGAAACGGACCTGAAACGGAGTGGCGATCAGTGAGATAAGAGGTGAACCAGTTAAAAACAGTGCCTGAGAGGCCGACCAGGTGCTGAAGTCTATTTAATAAAATGTCATGGTCTGCTGCATCAAAGGCGGCGGCGGTTAGATCCAGCAGGACCAAGACTGTGAGGTTGCCATTATCAAAACTGCACCTGATGTCATTCAAAATTTTTAAAAGGGCTGTCTCAGTACTGGGGTTCCCCCTAAATCCTGATTTGCACTCTAAAATGCTGTTTGTATTTAAACAATCGTATTTAAATACAAAGATTGCTCTTCTATTTTTTTTTTTTTTGTGCCAAACATCCCCTTTAGGGTGTTTTTGTTTTTTTTGTTTTCTTTTTCAGAGTTTTTTGTTTTAAAGGTTTTTTGCCAATTTTAAGGTCTGTTTTTTTTTTTTTTTTTTTTTCTCGCCTGGGACCTTTGTCTGGATGAGCTACTCTTAGTCTGGTCCCTCCCCCACGACCTGTTTGCCTTGGGTGACCCTTCAGAGGCATAAAGCCCCTGACAACATAGCTCCTGGGATCATTGGGACACACAAACCCCTCCACCACGGTAAGGTGGTAGCTCGAGGAGGGGAAAAAAACCCTCCCATGGGGGAGGGAAAAACCATAAGGGTTTTTTTTTTTGTTTTAAAGGTTCAATCATTTACTTGTTGAAGAACAAGTTTTTCCAAGATTTTACTTAAAAAATGGTAAGTTGGATGGTTCCACAACCGGGGACCATAAAAACTGAACGCCGCCTCCCCGTGGGTTTTTGTTTCTGACTTTGGGTAAGGTTAAAAGGCCTGTGCCGGAGGACCTCAGGGTCTGCGAGGGTTGATTTGGTAAAAGTACATCAGATAAAAAAGAAGGGCCAAGTCCATTAATACATCTAAAAACTAATAAAAGAACCTTACAATCAACCCTGAAACGGACCTGAAACGGAGTGGCGATCAGTGAGATAAGAGGTGAACCAGTTAAAAACAGTGCCTGAGAGGCCGACCAGGTGCTGAAGTCTATTTAATAAAATGTCATGGTCTGCTGCATCAAAGGCGGCGGCGGTTAGATCCAGCAGGACCAAGACTGTGAGGTTGCCATTATCAAAACTGCACCTGATGTCATTCAAAATTTTTAAAAGGGCTGTCTCAGTACTGGGGTTCCCCCTAAATCCTGATTTGCACTCTAAAATGCTGTTTGTATTTAAACGATCGTATTTAAATACAAAGATTGCTCTTCTATTTTTTTTTTTTTTGTGCCAAACACCCCCTTTAGGGTGTTTTTGTTTTTTTTGTTTTCTTTTTCAGAGTTTTTTGTTTTAAAGGTTTTTTGCCCATTTTAAGGTCTGTTTTTTTTTTTGTTTTTTTTTCTCGCCTGGCACCTTTGTCTGGATGAGCTACTCTTAGTCTGGTCCCTCCCCCACGACCTGTTTGCCTTGGGTGACCCTTCAGAGGCATAAAGCCCCTGACAACATAGCTCCTGGGATCATTGGGACACACAAACCCCTCCACCACGGTAAGGTGGTAGCTCGAGGAGGGGAAAAAAACCCTCCCATGGGGGAGGGAAAAACCATAAGGGTTTTTTTTTTTTGTTTTAAAGGTTCAATCATTTACTTGTTGAAGAACAAGTTTTTCCAAGATTTTACTTAAAAAATGGTAAGTTGGATGGTTCCACAACCGGGGACCATAAAAACTGAACGCCGCCTCCCCGTGGGTTTTTGTTTCTGACTTTGGGTAAGGTTAAAAGGCCTGTGCCGGAGGACCTCAGGGTCTGCGAGGGTTGATTTGGTAAAAGTACATCAGATAAAAAAGAAGGGCCAAGTCCATTAATACATCTAAAAACTAATAAAAGAACCTTACAATCAACCCTGAAACGGACCTGAAACGGAGTGGCGATCAGTGAGATAAGAGGTGAACCAGTTAAAAACAGTGCCTGAGAGGCCGACCAGGTGCTGAAGTCTATTTAATAAAATGTCATGGTCTGCTGCATCAAAGGCGGCGGCGGTTAGATCCAGCAGGACCAAGACTGTGAGGTTGCCATTATCAAAACTGCACCTGATGTCATTCAAAATTTTTAAAAGGGCTGTCTCAGTACTGGGGTTCCCCCTAAATCCTGATTTGCACTCTAAAATGCTGTTTGTATTTAAACGATCGTATTTAAATACAAAGATTGCTCTTCTATTTTTTTTTTTTGTGCCAAACACCCCCTTTAGGGTGTTTTTGTTTTTTTTTTGTTTTCTTTTTCAGAGTTTTTTGTTTTAAAGGTTTTTTGCCAATTTTAAGGTCTGTTTTTTTTTGTTTTTTTTTTTCTCGCCTGGCACCTTTGTCTGGATGAGCTACTCTTAGTCTGGTCCCTCCCCCACGACCTGTTTGCCTTGGGTGACCCTTCAGAGGCATAAAGCCCCTGACAACATAGCTCCTGGGATCATTGGGACACACAAACCCCTCCACCACGGTAAGGTGGTAGCTCGAGGAGGGGAAAAAAACCCTCCCATGGGGGAGGGAAAAACCATAAGGGTTTTTTTTGTTTGTTTTAAAGGTTCAATCATTTACTTGTTGAAGAACAAGTTTTTCCAAGATTTTACTTAAAAAATGGTAAGTTGGATGGTTCCACAACCGGGGACCATAAAAACTGAACGCCGCCTCCCCGTGGGTTTTTGTTTCTGACTTTGGGTAAGGTTAAAAGGCCTGTGCCGGAGGACCTCAGGGTCTGCGAGGGTTGATTTGGTAAAAGTACATCAGATAAAAAAGAAGGGCCAAGTCCATTAATACATCTAAAAACAAATAAAAGAACCTTACAATCAACCCTGAAACGGACCTGAAACGGAGTGGCGATCAGTGAGATAAGAGGTGAACCAGTTAAAAACAGTGCCTGAGAGGCCGACCAGGTGCTGAAGTCTATTTAATAAAATGTCATGGTCTGCTGCATCAAAGGCGGCGGCGGTTAGATCCAGCAGGACCAAGACTGTGAGGTTGCCATTATCAAAACTGCACCTGATGTCATTCAAAATTTTTAAAAGGGCTGTCTCAGTACTGGGGTTCCCCCTAAATCCTGATTTGCACTCTAAAATGCTGTTTGTATTTAAACGATCGTATTTAAATACAAAGATTGCTCTTCTATTTTTTTTTTTTTGTGCCAAACACCCCCTTTAGGGTGTTTTTGTTTTTTTTGTTTTCTTTTTCAGAGTTTTTTGTTTTAAAGGTTTTTTGCCCATTTTAAGGTCTGTTTTTTTTTTTTTTTTTTCTCGCCTGGCACCTTTGTCTGGATGAGCTACTCTTAGTCTGGTCCCTCCCCCACGACCTGTTTGCCTTGGGTGACCCTTCAGAGGCATAAAGCCCCTGACAACATAGCTCCTGGGATCATTGGGACACACAAACCCCTCCACCACGGTAAGGTGGTAGCTCGAGGAGGGGAAAAAAACCCTCCCATGGGGGAGGGAAAAACCATAAGGGTTTTTTTTTTTTTGTTTTAAAGGTTCAATCATTTACTTGTTGAAGAACAAGTTTTTCCAAGATTTTACTTAAAAAATGGTAAGTTGGATGGTTCCACAACCGGGGACCATAAAAACTGAACGCCGCCTCCCCGTGGGTTTTTGTTTCTGACTTTGGGTAAGGTTAAAAGGCCTGTGCCGGAGGACCTCAGGGTCTGCGAGGGTTGATTTGGTAAAAGTACATCAGATAAAAAAGAAGGGCCAAGTCCATTAATACATCTAAAAACTAATAAAAGAACCTTACAATCAACCCTGAAACGGACCTGAAACGGAGTGGCGATCAGTGAGATAAGAGGTGAACCAGTTAAAAACAGTGCCTGAGAGGCCGACCAGGTGCTGAAGTCTATTTAATAAAATGTCATGGTCTGCTGCATCAAAGGCGGCGGCGGTTAGATCCAGCAGGACCAAGACTGTGAGGTTGCCATTATCAAAACTGCACCTGATGTCATTCAAAATTTTTAAAAGGGCTGTCTCAGTACTGGGGTTCCCCCTAAATCCTGATTTGCACTCTAAAATGCTGTTTGTATTTAAACGATCGTATTTAAATACAAAGATTGCTCTTCTATTTTTTTTTTTTTTTTGTGCCAAACACCCCCTTTAGGGTGTTTTTGTTTTTTTTTGTTTTCTTTTTCAGAGTTTTTTGTTTTAAAGGTTTTTTGCCAATTTTAAGGTCTGTTTTTTTTTTTTTTTTTTTTTTTCTCGCCTGGGACCTTTGTCTGGATGAGCTACTCTTAGTCTGGTCCCTCCCCACGACCTGTTTGCCTTGGGTGACCCTTCAGAGGCATAAAGCCCCTGACAACATAGCTCCTGGGATCATTGGGACACACAAACCCCTCCACCACGGTAAGGTGGTAGCTCGAGGAGGGGAAAAAAACCCTCCCATGGGGGAGGGAAAAACCATAAGGGTTTTTTTTTTGTTTTAAAGGTTCAATCATTTACTTGTTGAAGAACAAGTTTTTCCAAGATTTTACTTAAAAAATGGTAAGTTGGATGGTTCCACAACCGGGGACCATAAAAACTGAACGCCGCCTCCCCGTGGGTTTTTGTTTCTGACTTTGGGTAAGGTTAAAAGGCCTGTGCCGGAGGACCTCAGGGTCTGCGAGGGTTGATTTGGTAAAAGTACATCAGATAAAAAAGAAGGGCCAAGTCCATTAATACATCTAAAAACAAATAAAAGAACCTTACAATCAACCCTGAAACGGACCTGAAACGGAGTGGCGATCAGTGAGATAAGAGGTGAACCAGTTAAAAACAGTGCCTGAGAGGCCGACCAGGTGCTGAAGTCTATTTAATAAAATGTCATGGTCTGCTGCATCAAAGGCGGCGGCGGTTAGATCCAGCAGGACCAAGACTGTGAGGTTGCCATTATCAAAACTGCACCTGATGTCATTCAAAATTTTTAAAAGGGCTGTCTCAGTACTGGGGTTCCCCCTAAATCCTGATTTGCACTCTAAAATGCTGTTTGTATTTAAACGATCGTATTTAAATACAAAGATTGCTCTTCTATTTTTTTTTTTTGTGCCAAACACCCCCTTTAGGGTGTTTTTGTTTTTTTTGTTTTCTTTTTCAGAGTTTTTTGTTTTAAAGGTTTTTTGCCCATTTTAAGGTCTGTTTTTTTTTTTGTTTTTTTTTTCTCGCCTGGCACCTTTGTCTGGATGAGCTACTCTTAGTCTGTGTAACAGTCTGCTCTGCCCCTCTCCTGCTCTGCTGCTCAGCCACACCCCTCATCAGCTAACTGCTTCCACCTGCTGCTCTCACCTGCTCATCATCTCCAATCAGGCCAGTATATATGCAGCTTCTTTCCCCTCACTCTTTGCCAGATTGTCTTCGTCTCTCATGCCTGACTCTCCCGCGCTTATCCTCGGACTGCTTACCTGGTATCGACCTGATCTGCCCCTGACCTTTGCTTCTCGCCTCAGCCCCGGTAAACCTACCTGCCTTCTGTCCTTGACTACGAGCTTTGCCTGCCTGGTTCCTGCTATTCATCTGCCTGCAGCTGAATGTCACTCAGCCTGTTCCTGCTCTGTTGAGATCCCCCTTCTCGTCAGCTTCACCTCGCCAACTCACCTCCTCTGCCGACGTTGGTTCTGCCAGCTCCTCTGCAAGCTCTGGATCCTCACCCAGTCCTCACCTAAACCACTCTCCAAGAAATCTTCCCCCAGCTGTGAGTTGAGCGTTTTCCCCTTCACTACACTCGTAGAGCAAATTAAGACTGTGGACAACTCCCTGCTCACGAGTTCAAAACTCTTGCCTGACCTGTGGTCCACTGCTAATCTGCTCGCCTATCACCCGGAAGACCCGAGTTCGAATCCTGCCATACCCACCTGCTATACTCTGCTGCCTCATTGGATTTGGTGTTCAATAAAGACTGTTGTTAAAGTGAACCTGCTTGTTTGTGCTGCAATTGGGTCCAGTCAATACCCGTTACAGTCTGGTCCCTCCCCCACGACCTGTTTGCCTTGGGTGACCCTTCAGAGGCATAAAGCCCCTGACAACATAGCTCCTGGGATCATTGGGACACACAAACCCCTCCACCACGGTAAGGTGGTAGCTCGAGGAGGGGAAAAAAACCCTCCCATGGGGGAGGGAAAAACCATAAGGGTTTTTTTTTTTGTTTTAAAGGTTCAATCATTTACTTGTTGAAGAACAAGTTTTTCCAAGATTTTACTTAAAAAATGGTAAGTTGGATGGTTCCACAACCGGGGACCATAAAAACTGAACGCCGCCTCCCCGTGGGTTTTTGTTTCTGACTTTGGGTAAGGTTAAAAGGCCTGTGCCGGAGGACCTCAGGGTCTGCGAGGGTTGATTTGGTAAAAGTACATCAGATAAAAAAGAAGGGCCAAGTCCATTAATACATCTAAAAACTAATAAAAGAACCTTACAATCAACCCTGAAACGGACCTGAAACGGAGTGGCGATCAGTGAGATAAGAGGTGAACCAGTTAAAAACAGTGCCTGAGAGGCCGACCAGGTGCTGAAGTCTATTTAATAAAATGTCATGGTCTGCTGCATCAAAGGCGGCGGCGGTTAGATCCAGCAGGACCAAGACTGTGAGGTTGCCATTATCAAAACTGCACCTGATGTCATTCAAAATTTTTAAAAGGGCTGTCTCAGTACTGGGGTTCCCCCTAAATCCTGATTTGCACTCTAAAATGCTGTTTGTATTTAAACGATCGTATTTAAATACAAAGATTGCTCTTCTATTTTTTTTTTTTTGTGCCAAACACCCCCTTTAGGGTGTTTTTGTTTTTTTTGTTTTCTTTTTCAGAGTTTTTTGTTTTAAAGGTTTTTTGCCCATTTTAAGGTCTGTTTTTTTTTGTTTTTTTTTTCTCGCCTGGCACCTTTGTCTGGATGAGCTACTCTTAGTCTGTGTAACAGTCTGCTCTGCCCCTCTCCTGCTCTGCTGCTCAGCCACACCCCTCATCAGCTAACTGCTTCCACCTGCTGCTCTCACCTGCTCATCATCTCCAATCAGGCCAGTATATATGCAGCTTCTTTCCCCTCACTCTTTGCCAGATTGTCTTCGCTCTCATGCCTGACTCTCCAGCGCTTATCCTCGGACTGCTTACCTGGTATCGACCTGATCTGCCCCTGACCTTTGCTTCTCGCCTCAGCCCCGGTAAACCTACCTGCCTTCTGTCCTTGACTACGAGCTTTGCCTGCCTGGTTCCTGCTATTCGTCTGCCTGCAGCTGAATGTCACTCAGCCTGTTCCTGCTCTGTTGAGATCCCCCTTCTCGTCAGCTTCACCTCGCCAACTCACCTCCTCTGCCGACGATGGTTCTGCCAGCTCCTCTGCAAGCTCTGGATCCTCACCCAGTCCTCACCTGAACCACTCTCCAAGAAATCTTCCCCCAGCTGTGAGTTGAGCGTTTTCCCCTTCACTACACTCGTAGAGCAAATTAAGACTGTGGACAATTCCCTGCTCACGAGTTCAAAACTCTTGCCTGACCTGTGGTCCACTGCTAATCTGCTCGCCTATCACCCGGAAGACCCGAGTTCGAATCCTGCCATACCCACCTGCTATACTCTGCTGCCTCATTGGATTTGGTGTTCAATAAAGACTGTTGTTAAAGTGAACCTGCTTGTTTGTGCTGCAATTGGGTCCAGTCAATACCCGTTACAGTCTGGTCCCTCCCCCACGACCTGTTTGCCTTGGGTGACCCTTCAGAGGCATAAAGCCCCTGACAACATAGCTCCTGGGATCATTGGGACACACAAACCCCTCCACCACGGTAAGGTGGTAGCTCGAGGAGGGGAAAAAAACCCTCCCATGGGGGAGGGAAAAACCATAAGGGTTTTTTTTTTTGTTTTAAAGGTTCAATCATTTACTTGTTGAAGAACAAGATTTTACTTAAAAAATGGTAAGTTGGATGGTCCCACAACCGGGGACCATAAAAACTGAACGCCGCCTCCCCGTGGGTTTTTGTTTCTGACTTTGGGTAAGGTTAAAAGGCCTGTGCCGGAGGACCTCAGGGTCTGCGAGGGTTGATTTGGTAAAAGTACATCAGATAAAAAAGAAGGGCCAAGTCCATTAATACATCTAAAAACTAATAAAAGAACCTTACAATCAACCCTGAAACGGACCTGAAACGGAGTGGCGATCAGTGAGATAAGAGGTGAACCAGTTAAAAACAGTGCCTGAGAGGCCGACCAGGTGCTGAAGTCTATTTAATAAAATGTCATGGTCTGCTGCATCAAAGGCGGCGGCGGTTAGATCCAGCAGGACCAAGACTGTGAGGTTGCCATTATCAAAACTGCACCTGATGTCATTCAAAATTTTTAAAAGGGCTGTCTCAGTACTGGGGTTCCCCCTAAATCCTGATTTGCACTCTAAAATGCTGTTTGTATTTAAACGATCGTATTTAAATACAAAGATTGCTCTTCTATTTTTTTTTTTTGTGCCAAACACCCCCTTTAGGGTGTTTTTGTTTTTTTTGTTTTCTTTTTCAGAGTTTTTTGTTTTAAAGGTTTTTTGCCCATTTTAAGGTCTGTTTTTTTTTTGTTTTTTTTTTCTCGCCTGGCACCTTTGTCTGGATGAGCTACTCTTAGTCTGTGTAACAGTCTGCTCTGCCCCTCTCCTGCTCTGCTGCTCAGCCACACCCCTCATCAGCTAACTGCTTCCACCTGCTGCTCTCACCTGCTCATCATCTCCAATCAGGCCAGTATATATGCAGCTTCTTTCCCCTCACTCTTTGCCAGATTGTCTTCGCTCTCATGCCTGACTCTCCAGCGCTTATCCTCGGACTGCTTACCTGGTATCGACCTGATCTGCCCCTGACCTTTGCTTCTCGCCTCAGCCCCGGTAAACCTACCTGCCTTCTGTCCTTGACTACGAGCTTTGCCTGCCTGGTTCCTGCTATTCATCTGCCTGCAGCTGAATGTCACTCAGCCTGTTCCTGCTCTGTTGAGATCCCCCTTCTCGTCAGCTTCACCTCGCCAACTCACCTCCTCTGCCGACGTTGGTTCTGCCAGCTCCTCTGCAAGCTCTGGATCCTCACCCAGTCCTCACCTGAACCACTCTCCAAGAAATCTTCCCCCAGCTGTGAGTTGAGCGTTTTCCCCTTCACTACACTCGTAGAGCAAATTAAGACTGTGGACAACTCCCTGCTCACGAGTTCAAAACTCTTGCCTGACCTGTGGTCCACTGCTAATCTGCTCGCCTATCACCCGGAAGACCCGAGTTCGAATCCTGCCATACCCACCTGCTATACTCTGCTGCCTCATTGGATTTGGTGTTCAATAAAGACTGTTGTTAAAGTGAACCTGCTTGTTTGTGCTGCAATTGGGTCCAGTCAATACCCGTTACAGTCTGGTCCCTCCCCCACGACCTGTTTGCCTTGGGTGACCCTTCAGAGGCATAAAGCCCCTGACAACATAGCTCCTGGGATCATTGGGACACACAAACCCCTCCACCACGGTAAGGTGGTAGCTCGAGGAGGGGAAAAAACCCTCCCATGGGGGAGGGAAAAACCATAAGGGTTTTTTTTTTTGTTTTAAAGGTACAATCATTTACTTGTTGAAGAACAAGATTTTACTTAAAAAATGGTAAGTTGGATGGTTCCACAACCGGGGACCATAAAAACTGAACGCCGCCTCCCCGTGGGTTTTTGTTTCTGACTTTGGGTAAGGTTAAAAGGCCTGTGCCGGAGGACCTCAGGGTCTGCGAGGGTTGATTTGGTAAAAGTACATCAGATAAAAAAGAAGGGCCAAGTCCATTAATACATCTAAAAACTAATAAAAGAACCTTACAATCAACCCTGAAACGGACCTGAAACGGAGTGGCGATCAGTGAGATAAGAGGTGAACCAGTTAAAAACAGTGCCTGAGAGGCCGACCAGGTGCTGAAGTCTATTTAATAAAATGTCATGGTCTGCTGCATCAAAGGCGGCGGCGGTTAGATCCAGCAGGACCAAGACTGTGAGGTTGCCATTATCAAAACTGCACCTGATGTCATTCAAAATTTTTAAAAGGGCTGTCTCAGTACTGGGGTTCCCCCTAAATCCTGATTTGCACTCTAAAATGCTGTTTGTATTTAAACGATCGTATTTAAATACAAAGATTGCTCTTCTATTTTTTTTTTTTTTTTTGTGCCAAACACCCCCTTTAGGGTGTTTTTGTTTTTTTTGTTTTCTTTTTCAGAGTTTTTTGTTTTAAAGGTTTTTTGCCCATTTTAAGGTCTGTTTTTTTTTTTTTTTTTTTCTCGCCTGGCACCTTTGTCTGGATGAGCTACTCTTAGTCTGGTCCCTCCCCCACGACCTGTTTGCCTTGGGTGACCCTTCAGAGGCATAAAGCCCCTGACAACATAGCTCCTGGGATCATTGGGACACACAAACCCCTCCACCACGGTAAGGTGGTAGCTCGAGGAGGGGAAAAAAACCCTCCCATGGGGGAGGGAAAAACCATAAGGGTTTTTTTTTTTTGTTTTAAAGGTTCAATCATTTACTTGTTGAAGAACAAGTTTTTCCAAGATTTTACTTAAAAAATGGTAAGTTGGATGGTTCCACAACCGGGGACCATAAAAACTGAACGCCGCCTCCCCGTGGGTTTTTGTTTCTGACTTTGGGTAAGGTTAAAAGGCCTGTGCCGGAGGACCTCAGGGTCTGCGAGGGTTGATTTGGTAAAAGTACATCAGATAAAAAAGAAGGGCCAAGTCCATTAATACATCTAAAAACTAATAAAAGAACCTTACAATCAACCCTGAAACGGACCTGAAACGGAGTGGCGATCAGTGAGATAAGAGGTGAACCAGTTAAAAACAGTGCCTGAGAGGCCGACCAGGTGCTGAAGTCTATTTAATAAAATGTCATGGTCTGCTGCATCAAAGGCGGCGGCGGTTAGATCCAGCAGGACCAAGACTGTGAGGTTGCCATTATCAAAACTGCACCTGATGTCATTCAAAATTTTTAAAAGGGCTGTCTCAGTACTGGGGTTCCCCCTAAATCCTGATTTGCACTCTAAAATGCTGTTTGTATTTAAACGATCGTATTTAAATACAAAGATTGCTCTTCTATTTTTTTTTTGTGCCAAACACCCCCTTTAGGGTGTTTTTGTTTTTTTTTTGTTTTCTTTTTCAGAGTTTTTTGTTTTAAAGGTTTTTTGCCAATTTTAAGGTCTGTTTTTTTTTTGTTTTGTTTTTTTCTCGCCTGGGACCTTTGTCTGGATGAGCTACTCTTAGTCTGGTCCCTCCCCCACGACCTGTTTGCCTTGGGTGACCCTTCAGAGGCATAAAGCCCCTGACAACATAGCTCCTGGGATCATTGGGACACACAAACCCCTCCACCACGGTAAGGTGGTAGCTCGAGGAGGGGAAAAAAACCCTCCCATGGGGGAGGGAAAAACCATAAGGGTTTTTTTTTTGTTTTAAAGGTTCAATCATTTACTTGTTGAAGAACAAGTTTTTCCAAGATTTTACTTAAAAAATGGTAAGTTGGATGGTTCCACAACCGGGGACCATAAAAACTGAACGCCGCCTCCCCGTGGGTTTTTGTTTCTGACTTTGGGTAAGGTTAAAAGGCCTGTGCCGGAGGACCTCAGGGTCTGCGAGGGTTGATTTGGTAAAAGTACATCAGATAAAAAAGAAGGGCCAAGTCCATTAATACATCTAAAAACTAATAAAAGAACCTTACAATCAACCCTGAAACGGACCTGAAACGGAGTGGCGATCAGTGAGATAAGAGGTGAACCAGTTAAAAACAGTGCCTGAGAGGCCGACCAGGTGCTGAAGTCTATTTAATAAAATGTCATGGTCTGCTGCATCAAAGGCGGCGGCGGTTAGATCCAGCAGGACCAAGACTGTGAGGTTGCCATTATCAAAACTGCACCTGATGTCATTCAAAATTTTTAAAAGGGCTGTCTCAGTACTGGGGTTCCCCCTAAATCCTGATTTGCACTCTAAAATGCTGTTTGTATTTAAACGATCGTATTTAAATACAAAGATTGCTCTTCTATTTTTTTTTTTTTTTGTGCCAAACACCCCCTTTAGGGTGTTTTTGTTTTTTTTGTTTTCTTTTTCAGAGTTTTTTGTTTTAAAGGTTTTTTGCCCATTTTAAGGTCTGTTTTTTTTTTGTTTTTTTTTCTCGCCTGGCACCTTTGTCTGGATGAGCTACTCTTAGTCTGTGTAACAGTCTGCTCTGCCCCTCTCCTGCTCTGCTGCTCAGCCACACCCCTCATCAGCTAACTGCTTCCACCTGCTGCTCTCACCTGCTCATCATCTCCAATCAGGCCAGTATATATGCAGCTTCTTTCCCCTCACTCTTTGCCAGATTGTCTTCGCTCTCATGCCTGACTCTCCAGCGCTTATCCTCGGACTGCTTACCTGGTATCGACCTGATCTGCCCCTGACCTTTGCTTCTCGCCTCAGCCCCGGTAAACCTACCTGCCTTCTGTCCTTGACTACGAGCTTTGCCTGCCTGGTTCCTGCTATTCGTCTGCCTGCAGCTGAATGTCACTCAGCCTGTTCCTGCTCTGTTGAGATCCCCCTTCTCGTCAGCTTCACCTCGCCAACTCACCTCCTCTGCCGACGATGGTTCTGCCAGCTCCTCTGCAAGCTCTGGATCCTCACCCAGTCCTCACCTGAACCACTCTCCAAGAAATCTTCCCCCAGCTGTGAGTTGAGCGTTTTCCCCTTCACTACACTCGTAGAGCAAATTAAGACTGTGGACAATTCCCTGCTCACGAGTTCAAAACTCTTGCCTGACCTGTGGTCCACTGCTAATCTGCTCGCCTATCACCCGGAAGACCCGAGTTCGAATCCTGCCATACCCACCTGCT